GTAGCCGAGGTGGGGAGCCCCGCGGGTCGGGGGGTTCCCTTGGCTTCGGGGTGTCAGCGTGTGCCGAAGCGGAGGCGGCCGGAACGGCACCGGCATCGCTCATCCTGAAGCGGGAGGCTTGGAGGCCTTGCAGGAAGGTAGCCCAAAGGAGCCCTCCCTGCGTGCAGGCGTCTAAAGTCTTAAGGGACAAACTGAGTCCAGTTGCCCTCCCAGGAAGGGTAGAGGGAACTTAATATCCAGAACGTTTATTTTACCGCCAGCCTTTCCCACGTAGCTGGAATACCCTGCTGGGAATTTCGCGCTCGGTTAGGCCGGTGCTTCCCTCTGAGTCTCAGTTCCTGAGTCCCGCCAGCCACTTCCTTCTGTCGCTGAGCTGCGCCCCCGTCACAGGGCGACCTTATAAACTGGCTCTAAAATCACGTCTGCTCTGCGTGAAGTGAGTAATGGCAGAGTAATGCGAGCACTGGGAAGCGGAAAGGGATTAGTTTTGTTGTAAAAATAGGAATGTTTGTGGCAGTGCCCATTGAGCTCTTCACTGAAAAGTTGTCTCAGAATTTCCAGTGTGTTGCAGGCACCGATGAAGAGCACTTGCTCACTGGTCATGGAAGTAAAGGTGTGAAATCAGTGCTTTGGCATTCCTCGCGTTAATGCAAACGTTTGTGCCTTGCCAGTCTTGGGTCTACTTGGAGGCTTGTCTGCTTTACAGATCGCTCTCTGTTAGAGGAGAGGTTCTTGCAGTTATTCGTAGAAAAAAAAAAAAGATGAGGAGTATATTTTTTTTGCCGCTCTTTGAAAGACTTTTCAAGAGATATATAATGGTTTGGGCAGGTGGTCACCTCTCTGTTGCAATGTGGAGATGTTGGAGTTGTGGGAAACCCTCCATGTCGCTGTGTCTCTCGCTGGCACTGCCCAGGTGAGGGTGGTGCTTCACGTTTCCGGGGTGTATTTTGCACTGGTGAGAAGTCAGTTTGTTGGTGGCAGCTCAATAGGCTGCAATTCTGATATTGACAAAATGCTGCTGGCCAGAGACTAAATTTAATTTACTCGGCTCTCAGCGTGGCCCTGCAAGCGCATACATTGAGTGCTTTATGCACAGAACCACCTCTGTTTTAACTACAATATCTCTTTGCTAGAGAAACTCTGAATCCTTTTTTATCCATTAATGCTCCAGCAGCCAGCCGGTAACGGACTCAGCTTTCACTTCAAACGTGAACACTTTTTACCCCTGCTAAGAGCAAAGGATGGAATATAGAATGTCATAAATAATATTTTAAATATTTTCTCATGCTGCCCAGTTCCCAAGCTGTCTGTGAAATGAGGTGGTCATTTTTCCATTTGCTGTATTTCCTGGACAGATAAACTTAGCCACCATTTCCCAGAAAAGACATTTCTCTAAGATTTCTTCATGCTCAGTGCTGAGCTTGATAGGAATTGTCTGGCCTTAGTCCCTTTATTAAGGAGCAGGATGGAGCTGGATGGTTTAAAGCTGCCATTGCATTTGCTGTCCATCCCGAATGTGAGCACAGCTCAGTACTGGTTTGTTTACTAAATATTTTTATTTGTTTGTACCGCTGTTGTACAGGGGAGCCCGTGGAAGTTGTGCAACTTCTGTGTCACATGGATATAGTTTAAATTGTGCTAAACCATAAAAAATCTTGTAGGAGTTGTAGGGTAGATGAAAGTCAACCTGGTACTGAGATTGTAGGACATGTTTTTTAAAATATAATAAAATAATGCACAAAGAAGCAAATACATATGTAAAATATATATGCCCGCTAATTTCTTCTTACACAAAAGTATAAGAAACTAACTTAGAACAGCTATAAGCAGATCCAACCTTTGCCTGTGTTCTTACGCATAGTTTGTTTTTGCTACTAAAATCTCCGAACTTGTTCATGCCTTATTTTAGTGAAGAATTCAGCTGGGCTTCAAGTATGAGGGAAAGACCTATAAAAGCAACAGTGGGTTGATACCAAGCTGTACTTTGAACTTTTTCAGCAGCCTGAGCTATCTTTGTTACAATTAATTCCCTTTATATTGTTTTATGCAAACAAAGCTCTTGGTTTGTGCTCTGGTATCCATTTGATGCCCAGCACCAGTCATCTCTATACATAATAATCTATTTTTTAAAGGAGATGGTTTTTAGCATAGGCTCAGCCAGATGTTTTCACAAGCATTTATGAAACTGCCAAGCTGATATTCAGTGCTGTTTTGCAGAGTTGCCCTTGGAGCTTTCATAAGCTGTAAAATATGGTATTTAAGCTCTTATCTTTTGAGGACTTTGCTCTTATTTAGGTAGTGTAATTATGTCATGGTTAATTGGCAGATTATTTTGACCTAATCATTTCAGATTATTTCTCTCTAGGATAGTGCTCTTAATGGTACATCAGGTTTGATACTCGGTTAGTAAAAGAAGAGATTGGCACGTAAACTTCCTTCTGAATAGCTGCAGGTTCCTGGCTCTGTCAGATACCTGGGAGGTAATCGCTCCTCAGAAGCCAAACTTGCTTGATTATGTATTTGTTAAATCCCTAAGAATTTGAATGCCTGCGGTGTGAGGTGGCTATAAAAACAATGAGTGATGAATTAAATGTCTTTTTGAAGTAACTTGCCCTGTAATGAAATAGATTTTGGTATGTTCTTTTGTGAGCACTTTTTTGGTAGTCACAGATGTTGGGTGGATCCTGCTGATTCACTGGTATAGATGATGTGCTATCTCCATCTAAGCATAACTACAGTTGACTTTTATAGGAAGGCAGTGCAAGCGCCATAAAACTTTGCTAAGAACTGCAGATTTTCAACTAGGGTATGCTTGTGAATATGCTTATGAATTCACTACTGCAGAAAATCGATTCTTTTGGTTAAAGCTTTAATAAGATCACAATGCTTACTGTTCAGTTTTATCTAAAGTAACTTGAATTACTGTTTTCATTCCTCTTTAGGCTTTTGCACAATTTGATGCTGAAGGAGATGGCACTGTAGATGTGGAGAATATGCTGGAGGCTCTCAAGAATTCCAGTGGAGCAAATCTTCAAGGGGAGCTTAGTCATGTAATCAGGCAGCTGCAGGCTTGTTCCCTAGTTCCAGGTATGAGAACAGAGTGACAAAGCAAAACAAAACTTTTATTTTCTCTGGTCTCACAACACTAGGGCAAGTCATTCTCACTTCCCTAGTGTCAGACAAGTGAAGTGTCTGCAAGTATTTCCCATAGTTACAAGCCAGCTGACTTGCTTTCATAATAACCTTTTTTTCTTTTTCCTGTCTGTGAATGAGGAGCTTCTTGCAAAATTTTGGTGACTGACTTAACTAATACAGTAGCAATCTTATATGTAATAACTGGAAGCATCCTCCATAGAGTCTGTTTCAGGTGATGAATTGTGCACTTAATATTATACTGTTGTTTAGCTTTATGAATCCTGCTAAAGTATATTTCAGTTTATAGCATATAACTTCTTAACTTCACAGTTTATGGCATAAAACTTCAAGTTTCTGGAATTTCAGTCCTGGGTTAGGTATTTGTTACTGGCATTCCTCCTAAGCATTTAAGGATAAGTGGCTAACATAGATTTGCCAGGGAGGGCAAGAAGTTTAAGAACTGGCTGAAAGAAAAGTCAGAGGAGAGAACTCACAGGGTCCTCTACACATCTGGTTTCACTATGCCTCAGAGTCCAGCTGTTAATTAGCTAGTCAGCAGAAAACTTGGGTGCCTCTTTGGGAATGATTCGAAATGGCAAAGTGAGATGCCAGGATAGCCCAAGCTGAATGACGTGAGTATATCAGCTTTTTGGCCAAGGAGTGTCTATTTCATCTAGATATTAAAATGTAAAACAAAAGAGTTTGAGGCTTTTCAGACAGCAAAATAAACATAAGAACTAAGATTTTTAGTGGTAGTTTTGAACCTTTTCAGACATTTCAAGTGACTGGTAACATTTGATTTCTTGCACCTTCCATGACACTTCTCTAAATGTGGTAAATGAGCTGCTTCATCTGGAATGTAGGCTCCAATATAGGCTTCCATACTTAATTTGAATTTACCTAGTAATAAAATGTAGTGAGAAAAAATGTAGTGAGTAAAAATGGCTCTTCAAGGTTCTGTCCAATGTTGCAACAAAGATAGAAATGTTGTCTGTTTCTAGGTTTCATTGACATATTTTCCGAATCAAAAGAGCGCCTTGGTCTTCATGCTTCGATGATACTGAGATTCCTGCACCGGAATCGCATTTCTAGCACTGCTATCCCGTACCCAGTGCTGGAGTACTTCAACAATATCTGTACGATGCGCTCGTCTGTGCTGAAGGATTCTTTAGATCGACTTCTCCTAAAAGAGAGAGGTATGTGAAACTGTTGTGCTTTGGGATTTTTGTTTGGCCGTTTGTTTGGCAGGGTGGATACTGGAACCATAGTTTGAAGAAGACATTACAGATAAAATAAAGGTATAAGAAAAAAAAAAACTCTTTAGCAGACTTGACTTTTCATGAGGTTGATCTGTCTGCTTCTGATTTTTTCTTTTGGAGTCTTTTATCAGTCATATAAACTGATTTCCTCACTGTCTGGAATCCTGAATAGAAGTCTTGGACATTTTTTGCTTTCTCCAGACCTGTTTCAGAATGATGATTACTAATTTATGATATTCTCTTTTCCATCAAATATTTTTACCAGTTACTAGAAACATACCTCCCATTTGAAGGTGACCGTTTCCTGAAATTGATAGCAATTACCTTTGACACCTTTAAGAGAGTGCTCCTGGCATTCATGGCTTGACTCTATGGTGTTTTCAGACACCTATTTTCATACTGCAGGTAGTAGATTGAGAGTAATGTGCCTCCATCTAAAATGCAACTTTTCTGTTGTCTGTTTTATATGGGAAAAACTACAAGAAATTTTGCAGAAGTTGTGTTCTATGCAAACAACCTCATCTCTGAGAGATATTTAGTTATTAGGACGATATAGGAATTCTTACAAGGAAGCAAATGGAAAAGAATGTTATGAGTCATCCCTTTTCTTTACCTTTACAGAATACCCTAGTGACTTAAATGGTAATCAAGAGTCAGACAAACTGAAATCTGTCACAAAGTGCTATACTCACATAGAAACCTCATCCAACTCTGCCGATATCGACAAGATGACAAATGGAGAAACAACATCCTTTTGGCAGTCCGATGGGAGCGCTCGCTCGCACTGGATACGGTGAGCAACACTGTAAAGCACGGCTGAGTTCCAGGCTGGTTAGTCCTTAGGTCTTGCAGCCACTGGGCTGTAACTGAAAAAAGCTGTGAATTATTGAGTGACAGATGAACTAATTTGAAAACATAAGTCATGATAATCTTTGCTTAATGTTTAAAAGCCTAACCAGCAAGAAAAGTATTCATCTGTAAGATATATGCCTCTTCCACACTGAGACGTGTCCTTGTTTTGTAGCTAAGCTTTCCAACCTCTATTATAGATGCGGTGGTTGGTATTTGAAACTTGTGAATTATTAGATAATTTCCAACAAGTTTATCTATACTTGCAAAAGTAAAAACAGGATAAGGTTTTAGCTAAAACTGTAGCATTTGTCTTATCTTCTCTTTGCAAGAACTATTTTTTTCTTCTTTACTTTGCAGTTTAAAGATGAAGCCAGATGTTGTTTTGAGACATCTGTCTATAGCAGTGGCAGCTAATGACCAGAGTTATATGCCACAGCAAGTTACAGTGGCAGTGGGAAGGAATGCCAGCAGTCTCCAGGAGGTCCGAGATGTTCACATTCCAAGCAATATCACTGGCTACGTAACGTTGTTGGAAAACGCTAACATTAGTCAGATGTGTGAGTCCATAAATATACCATTGGCATATTGTCTTGTTGCTCTTTCCTGAAGGTGAAATGTAGGGAATGTCACAGAATGGAGTGTTGAAATGTCAGTTGTTACAGCAGAAACTTTTGACCTAGCCCTTAGGTCAGAGAAATTTTGACTGTTGTTTAATGATTAGTCCATTAAAGAGTCTTTCTCATGGCATCTGTACCTCAGTTTAAGGGTAGAATAGCTGGAATGATTAAAGATGCAGTTTCAGCCTCTCAATGTGAAGGTATTGGGCAACATTATGGTACACTGCGCAAGCAAAAGTACCTTATGTTAGATACTATTATCTAGCAAAAGATCTGTTTCTGAGACACCTTTTCTTTTTCCCTAGAAAAACTCTGAGGAGCAGTCAGATGACTTTCATGAAGCAGGTTTTATGCTAAGGGTTTCTAAGTAGTGTTATTTTTAAGCCTGGTAGATCTGTGGGTGCTATATTGGAATCAATCACAGCAAAGATGTTGCTTCCAAAGAAGCTTCACAGATGTCTCTTCAGCTCAATCTGATGCTTTCCACTAAGATAACTCTCACAGCTACAGAAAGAGGCTTTGGGCATGTTATTCTTCAAACATGGTTAAGAGAACCTTTTCTCTGCAAAATGGTCAAGAACTTTTGTGAGAATCTCCCTTTTTTAGGTTTGATTAGTACTGGTATTGGTTTGACTTCCCCTTTGAGAGTCTTTTTACTTCCTTTTTTCTTAGTTTCTAGTAGTACAGGGCCATGGTACAATGCAGTGAATCAGAGCAGGCCATTCAGAAGCTTTTTTTTTTTTCCAACATGTCAGTTGCATGTTCAAGAAATACACATGTGGAGTTGTTCAAGAGTTTTTGCAGTAATTCTTGTTTTGAATATTTGAGTTCTACATCTGGTCTAACAGAGCAAATGGGAGAAAAAAATCTGTTTTGTGTTTTTTTTCTGTTAGATGTACAGATAAATATCAAGCGTTGCCTTAGTGATGGGTGTGATACAAGGATCCATGGACTCAGGGCATTTGGTTATCAAAGGGTTAAGAAGGTGGGCGTCTCAGTATGCGATGCTTCAGCTATCTGGTACTGGTCTCTACTGACCTCTCTGGTAACAGCTTCCATGGAAACAAACCCAGCATTTGTTCACACTATCTTACAAAATACTCAGTAAGTACCAAACCTCCTTGTCTTTGCAACTACTTCCAGCCTTTGTCAACTAATTTACTTCGTGTAACTGGTTTTCGCTCCCTCCATTAAGGTGTTTAAACCTCATCCTAACTATCAGATTGTTTAAATTTCGGTATTTCTGCTTTATACTTTTGCACATACCAGAACATATATGGTTCTCCTGTGCTTTGTAAGTAACTTAGTAGTTTGGTCACAACTGAATGACCACCGGAAAAAAAAAAATAGCTATCCTTTGTCTCATAATATTTTCAGGAAGCCTAAAAGTAACTGTTTTTTTCTTTTAATTTTGTGGCCCATGAATATTGCTCACTTTTGAACGGAGCTCCATTTTGCTCGTTTTCAACGGTTTTTGCTTGCGTACCGCCCTGCCGTGCGTTACATGGGGACAGGGCCGGGTATACGCAGTATCTCTGCGCAGATGTTTGTCTTGTGGCAGTTGGCTCCGCTCCGTAGCGTTTCCTTGTCCAACTGCCAAACCCTCCTGCTCGATGACTTCGAGGATTGGAATCCTAACGAAATCGCAACACACCCACGCCAACTTTTATAGAGCTTAGTTAGCGTGATGCCACCCAGCCTAAGAGCACTACTGTCATTAGGTTAATGAGTACTGCAGGCTAAAGTCCATTAGGCCTATCTGCAGTTTGTCTCATCTATGAAACCTCTTTAAAGTTTAGATAACTTTATGCTGCTTATGCCTGCCTGAGGACAGTTCAGAGCTGTGCAGCTTTGCTAAAGTGAGAGCCTTCATTTACACTGCAGTTTAGATATTGGATAGGAGGATAATAGGAATCTTGGTCTCCTATGGCCTTTAAAAAGAGGAAATCTGGACTGAAAAACTGCATTCAAGAGTTATGAATTCAGTGAAAACCAAACTTCAGAATTGGAATTACTCTGATGCAACTGCCCATCCTCAATAGCCACCCTGGACACCTGGGCATTACACAGTTGCAAATGGTTTCAGTGATAATTCAGATATTTTAATCTTTGAACAGACTTTATTTTGCTGCTGCTGCTTCTTAATATATACTTTGGCTCATCATAATCCCCTATTTATTATTTACCTAATTGCTCTTTTTACTAAAATATTTACCATGCGTGATTCACTAGTTTGAATCAGAAACTTAAAACTTCTTAACACTAAACATTTGAGTATTTCAAGGTTTTTAATAACATATTTGTCTTCCATACAATGTAATTCTATTTATTAGATTTTGCTAAATTCAAAATGAGTTAAAATTTTGCAAAATTAGAAAGATGCTCTATTAAGAGAGGAAGAATAGAATTGGGAGGATTTACTGGTATGCATTGTATCTATAGATAAAACTTTAGCCCAAAGGCAAGTGGTCTTACTGTTAATAACTCAATTACATTTACAAGCAAGATGGTAGCAGTATATTTTTTTAAGAATTACTATTTTCAGTGATTATTACACTACCTTAGGAAATCAAACAAAAAATCTGACCTCAGCTAAAAGTCTTTGTAGTTTTCATAATTATTTTAAAAGAATTTCAAGGCAAACTTTCCGTTTTTAAGGAAAGCATTAACCGGAAGGATCCCCTTGCTAAATTCTGTAACTTTTTAAGGTAGTATTTAGACACATTCGCTGCTTGTAGGAGGTTTGTTTCAAAGCCATTGATTTACTTGTGTGTCATTTGAAGTAAGTTTGAGAGATTCAAGATTACTGAACTGTTGTTGAATTTTCTCCAGCTAGAATGCAGTGCTGTCTTTTCTTTTTGAACATATTATCTGTGTAAATAGATAATGCCTGTAGGTGCCTAATCATGGAAGAGTAAAGATTCAAAGCCATTCTTCCCAAAAGACTTTCTTTGATTCTGAATGGATTTCTGATGTTATACTCCTTTTTTTTTTTTTTAACTAGGAAAGCACTGCAACACATGCCACCTCTGTCCCTAACACCAGGCTCAACAGATTTTTCAAGTTTCTTATCTCCAAATGTTTTGGAAGAAGTAGATAGCTTCCTGATAAGAATAACAAGGTGAGATTGTGTTCATGTGTTCTAATGCAGTGGAAAAGGATTCAGATGAATTTTTATGGCAGATATATTTTTCTTATTTGTATTTATCTGCTCTTTTTTAGTACTTTGGAAAAAAATCCATCATTAAGAATTGACACCTTAGATTTTTAATTCAAGCCCCATTTGTGTTTATGTAAAAGCAGAGTGCCTACCTCTGATTTGAAATGCAGTATGGTAATGTAATTCAGCATTAAGATGATGCACAGTGGCTTAAAAGGGGTTGGGGGAAGTTTGATGAGCAAGAATAAATTGCGACTCCAAATAATTTCAAAGGTCGAAGTTGGTTTTGTTTACATGAGCCTATACTGTGACTGCACCTCTGGCCACGGACCAGGCCAACCTGGGACTACTGATGCTAGGAAAAAAGGAAAAGCTGGAATAACTATTGGCAAAAACTACTCTAGTTGATGCGACTGTCACAGCCTGACATGGGCTGAGCTGCCCGTACTAAGGGACATGTGGGCTTTGCAGCTGTGACTGCTGCTTGGAGAAACCATGTTTTCACAGAGCCTGATGCAACACCACCCACCCAAGAAACCAGTGCCATTTGTGCAGGGAGTTTAGGCTGTGTGCTCTGGTCCTCGTCTCCTCCAGGAAAAAGCAGAGCATCCAGAGGGCCAGATTCAGTTCACACCTGAATCTGGAGGTTCAGTTCATACCTGAATCTTCAGGAGACTCGGCTTGCATGGAATAAGACATTTTATTCCTCTGCAGATTTCTCTCTAAAACGAGATATACAGTATTTATTCCAGTAAGTGCAGCAAGCCACATAGCTACTAGGTATTATAATTTGATGGCTTAAAAGAGTTCTCCAGATAGGCTAACACATGAGAAAGAGGTATCACACATTAAAGTCATACTTAATGTACTTGATTTTTCTAACTCGGGTTTCTTTTCTGAATTTTCTTTCATGTCTGTTTTTTACTTTTTTATTTTTTTCTCTGCAGTTGTTGCACCACTCCCGAAGTTGAACTTACACTCTTGGCCTTCGCCTTAGCCAGAGGGAGTGTTGCTAAAGTGCTGAGTTCCCTTTGTACAATCACTGATCATCTGGACACTCCATACAAAGCTTCATCACTTATTGCTTCTATGGCCACAGTTAGGCAGAACCTGCTGTATAAATATGGTAAATGAATAATTGTTGGATCCTTTACTTAATACAACATACAGCTTTCCAAGTGGTTTTACTTCCTCTGCTAAGGCTTAAAATCTTATGAGACATACAATTAATGATTATCATGAAGAACATATACCTTACCTGCCATAGAAATTGGTAAAAAAGAAAGCTTTCTGTGTCCCAAGCATGAAAACAGATGATGTAATTTTGAGGGGAAGAAGCATGAGCTTCATAGACAGTGGCCCTGAAGTCAAGACAGTGATAGTGTTTATATTGTATTGAATTATTTGGTGCTATCTGCATTTCTTATCTCCAACTATTCCTTTTTCCTGTTTAGTGTCAATAAGTAGTCTCTCTTGCACACATTTGCACATGCAATTGTTTACGTTTTAAAAATAACGTCATTAGCACATATACACACTACTATGTATTATGTTTTGTCACTACCACTTAGCTTGTGCCAACTATTACTATTATTACTATTACTAAATACCTTTGTAATTATAATAGTATTTCCTTTCAAAACATTTGAAAATTGTTCAATTTTCTCCAAATAGCCGTTACTTTTTGCAACAAAAGAGTCGTATTGCATGTACTGTGAATTCTGAAGTGTGCAAACAGTTGAAGGAACATGAGTTTCTGTTCATGTGTCCATATGTAAAACTTTAGCTATAATGTTAGACCAGCAGGTCTCTAACACTCCAGCTCCTCCTCCTCTTTGTCCGACATTGGTAAAAAAATTCATAGTTCTGTGATTCTCTTAGTTCCCTTGTTTTCTGTGTGAAGAACCTAAAACTGGAAGGAGGTTTCATGTTTTACAAAGTTGACAAACCTGTTGATGTGCTTATTTAGGAAAACCTTTGCGACTAACCTTGCAAGCATGCGATGTAAAGGGGAAAGAAGATAAATCAGGACCTGAAAACCTGCTTGTGGAGCCCTGGACAGGGGATGGTAAGAGCAAAGTCTTAAGTTACGGATGTTGTGTGTGGATGTGAGCAGTAAACTGGCGCAAAGAAGATTATAGTTGAGCACATTTTGTGGGGAGAAGTCAGGAATCGCTCACAGTTCATTTCCTCAAAATTGATGGAGACCTATGGTAGAAACTACTGAATTTTTCGGTCACTATGCATAACTATTAATTCTTTAAAACTTACCTACGTTAATAAAATATATTCTAAAATACGCACTGGGTGCAACTGTAGGAGGGTAGTTTGTGTTTCTTGGCCTCTTGTTTAACCGAAGTTTCTCCTAATCTTTCTGGAAAAACCTGTGTACTATTTTACGCCTTACTACTTTTAAATGAACACTATTGTGACAGAAAATCAGGCTTATATTGCTTGCTCGCTTATGCGTGTGATTTCAGATTTCTCAAATTGTTTTGTAGATTGCCTTCTTATGTGGGTGGTAGTTTGAGGAAGAGTGAGTTATCCACGAACAGAGCTACAAACCAAAATAATATTTGGGAGTTGTTGCTAAACAGTAGAGGGGAAACACACTGCAATATCTACAGCAATTCCAACATCTGTATGCCCTGCAGGAGCCTATACTAGCATGATACCATCTATGTGTCTTTTATCCTTGTATTTGGAAACATTTTCAAATCAGCTATGGCATTTCACTGTATAGTTTTGCACCAAGCTTTTTACATCAAGAATCCTTCCAATTTCATTCCGTTTCCGCTGTGTCTTTAGGTTTCCTTACCGAAACTGGGAAGACCAGAGCAAGTATCATTCTTTCTACTGGAACTGAATCTTCATTTCAGGTGACACAAATTAGAATAAAGGTATGTACTTTCCTTTTGCTTTGCAAGTCGAAGGCTTTTTTTCTTCCCTAACAATAATGTTGAATTAAAAAAAAAAAAAACCTCTTAATGAAATTGTAATTTTTGATTAAATACTGTTACGTTAGATTTTTGATTTTATGTAAATCGGAGGAAATTTTTTAAAAAGCATGTGTGTATATACAATAAGAATCCATATGCGGAACTGTAGCTTTGCACTAGCACGGTCATAAGATAGTGAACATTAACTGTACATGTGATCTTTCTTTTTTTTGAGTGGGTTTCAAAAGCTTTCATAACTCTTCCCTAAACAGTTCCATCTTAATTCTTTAGGTAAAAATCATAGTGTGATTCCAGAGATCAGTTTTGTCAGTGCGTTATTCCTTTCCATAACACTCTTCTGTGAAAGCAACAGTTTTATTTTCAGCTTTTATATACATTGCTCTGGATTTGCTCTTTTAGGTTCGAAGAGGTGCCATTGGGGCCCAGTGTGGGCTGGTGTTTGCCTATAATAGTTCTTCGGAAAAATTCCATGCAGAGGAACATTTCAGAAGATTTGAAAGATATGATAAATGGAAGTTACCAGAGTTTAAGCGATTTTTAAAAAACAGGTATATGTCGACTTTTTGTCATGAAGATGTTGAAAGTAAATGTTATACCTATTTTTTTTGCAAAGCTCTTTGAACTACTGAGATTTGCTCCAAGTGACTTAAAAAGTAATGCAGCATTTAATAGCTACTTGTCTGACTTTATTGAATGTTAACTAGATGTTTGCGAGGGGAAAAACATGTAGCTATTGTTTTCAACCTCTCAATTTAAAGACCAGTTTAAAAAAGTATGTAATAAAACAAAATCTCTACTTTATGTGCAGATCTATGATAACGGACAGCAGTAATTGCTATTAGCCTCAACCTCAATTAAATGACATTAAGAATGGAGGTTAGGGTCCATAGCTCAGCAGAGATTTTCTTAAATTATTTTAAAATATTCTTAGTTTGTATATTCAAGAGTTTGCATATGTGAAAGTTTGTTTCATCTCTCTAACCTTTTTCCAGAATAACATGCTGAAAATACTGTAGCAGCATAAAAGCAGCTTGGCAGTTTCTTTAAATTTTTTATTTAAAAACTTTGTTAAATTATTTTATACACAGGAGCAGTTGTTCGGGTGATGATCTGGGAGATGATGATCCCATCGGCTGGTTTGAGGTGGAAGAAGAATGGGATGAGGTTGATGTCAAAATGCAGCAATGCCGAGTTGCCCAAGTAAGAAACCATGCAAATTCATTAGCCTCATCACAACGAGCAAAGTTGTAATACCAGTTGAAATAAGCATAATTTCTATTCATGCACATATGACTAGTCTGGGCAGAGGTAAAAATCAAAGGCGCTCGGTTAAAAGGGGGTTTAGAAGGGGCTAAAAGGGGGATTTAGAAATATTTCTAAAAAGGATGACATGATTGTTACTGCATTTTAATTTTGAAAACAATTAACAGCTGCATTGTTACAGCATTTACTCTTTTAGGGCTAAATTCTGCAACCTTTATTTTAAGTGGAAAACAGTTACTCAGTTTCAGTGGGCTAGGCTGAATTCCCCAAGGAGTGTGGGACTTCTCCATTTCAAGAGTGACAGAACACGGATTTTGTTTTGTAGGGAATTTTAATTCTCATACACTGCACTTTGTTTCTGGCATCAATAGTTCCCCAAACTTTTTTGTACTGTGGAAATCAGCAGGACACTTATAAACCAACTGGCATTTTTTTCCAAAGCTTTCTCCACTTGACGAGATATTCTTCTGTTGACCATGTAACATGTATTACCTTACACTTCTGAGTGTACAAAATTATTAAGTATACTTGGAACTTGCTGTTCCCATCAGCCACAAGTTTTATGTTTTACTGTGTACAGATTGCATAAAAGTGTGCTGTAAATATTTCTTGCTGATATTCTGTCTGCTTTTAAATGCAGCTGGTATGTTTTCACCTGCAAAAATCCTGTAGCTATAGAGACAAGAAATAGAGGGTAGAGAACAAATGAAACTGATAATGAATTAAATAACACTGCAGATGTGTATAGAGTTTGCAGAACCATCAGAATGACATTTTGGGAGATGGAGGGTATGTAAGTGAGGACACCAAGCTTAGTCTGAATCTCAAACCTAGTGTCTTAAAGGCCTGGGGGTAACTGACAGGCAATAAGCCCTGCTCAGCCCCAACTGCTCTGCTCGTCTGTGCACCTGCCTCTTATGACTGCCTAGTTTATAAACAAATAAAACCAAATCTTGTCCTGTGTTTTTTATCCTTCCAGTACTTAATGATAAAGTTCTTGTGCACGAGGCAAGAGACTGCAGAGCGATTGGGTGTTCAAGGCCTGAATGTTCTTGGGTATCTTCGGCCTATGCGAGAGGAGCCCAGTAGGAGCATGAACTGCTTGCAGTGCAAGAAGGTGGATGATGACACAGTTTGTGGCACAACTCTTCTCCTGAAGACACTTCACTTCATCCAGCAGCTTGCCCAGGACCTGGTATCTTTACTTTTTAACTTTTGTTAAGTATATATTTGCTGTGCTACAAAACAATAATATTATACTAATAGTAAATCAATAGCCTTGTGAATAGATGAATCAAAGAGTTACTAATAAGTAATGGTAATAATTAATAGTATCATTCTGCAAGGGGAAAAATGTTTCTGGAAGATTGGGTTCTATGAGTTCTTGCTAAAGTTGACTAGGAATACGTTCACTTATGTCCTGAAGAGAGTTAAGGACCATCTCTCAGCATTAGATTCCAATATTGGGTAAACTCAGTGCAACAGAAGGATGCTCCATTAAGTAGCGAAGCTATTTCTGAAGCAAACATGATAAAGATGCATAGAAAGATATCTAGGAAAGCTGCATAGATTAAAACATGTTCTGTGTTCTTTGAAATATATTGTTTGTATAGCTCATGCTTCAGTGCCTTTCAGCTTTGGATTCTGAACCCTGTGCATCTTGTTTTGTCTGTTGTATCTGCACTACAAGTTTAGGACCTATTTACTCCAACCACATTATGCAAAGAGGCAAAGGTTGCAAAGTCTCTTTCTGGAGAGAGAGGGACAGAACAAGGCATTTGTAAGGAGGAGAGTGCTTTGTAAGGAGGAAGGTTTCAGCATAAATGTAACATCTAGACATCAGAAATATAAGCAGGTGAAAGAACTTATGCTAACTGAAGATTTATAGGAAAATAGTCTGCCTTAAGTCCAGTGCTCAGGGATCTACTCTTTGTAAATATGCTGTGTTTGAAGCTAATCTTTTCAGCCCTGTATTTTCTTTGTCTCTTTAAGGTTCAACAGAAAGACAGTGGATTAAAATACAAGTCATTTTTAGATTTCACAGGCCTTGATTTGCAGCTGTTCTGGAATTTTTACAATAAGCTTCACCAAAAGTAAGTCACATCTTTGCTATACGGTAAAGCACAAATCTGTGTACATGTATCCTAAACTGCATCATTTACATAAATAACATTTCTGCCATATGGGTTTTTAACTATAATGTTATGTAGAAGCTTGAGTTGCAGATTTATTTAGCTGGTAGTTATACATTTTTGGCAGCATGTTCTCTACTTTGAATGTCTTTTATTCATCTGAGATAGCAACTCTTGACCAAAACAGCTACTCTTATTTTTGCTTCTTCAGGTCAATATGTATTCAGTAGTCTATTGCAGTGAAACTTTCTTTGGCCCTTTGAGATGATTTTCCAGACTTTTCTGATAAAATGTGGCCTAGAAGTGGCTGCAATAGAAAATTTCTTTTGAATCTGTTACCTTCCTGATGCAGCAGGGAATGTGATGTTTTAACTAATTTTACTGAGATTCACTGATCATATGATATTTTATATAAGTATAAATGATCTTATGAGAAGCCTGCAAAGTTTTACAGAAGTGCAGGCAAAAATTTGGAGCCAGTGAAAAGAATAAGAATTGCGCATTAGATTTCATTGGAAGTAGGATTTCACCCTCTTTGATCAAATACATTTTTTTGTTTGTTTGTTATTAGCTAAGTCTTCTGAAGAGCAACCCAGAGATAAGCAGGTTTTTACAGGATCTGTTACATTTTGAAAGCTTTAATACCTTTGAATGCTTGACAAGTCTTAATGTTCCTGGAATTAATTTACTCATTTGAGCAAATACGTCCCTAGAAAGATCTTTTCTGCCAGAAGTGAAAATAGCTCCCCTCATTTTCTACGCATATAACAGGGGTGCAAGGACGTGTAAAATAACACATTAAATTTAACTGTACCACTAACTAAATTAGTTGGAGCATTAATTTCAGCTTGTCATTTGTTTCCTTTTTCTACGAGCAGTAGTGGACACGGGGGACAGTAACTTCATGCCAATGAAAATGCTGAAACAGGAAGTTAAGAACACATTACTCAGTGGAGCTGCAATCTTTTTCCCAGATAGACAAACCAGGCGTCACCAGCTCTTCACCATGATGGTAAACGATGAAATGAGAAAATGGTTGTTTTTGTGCTCACTTTTGTGAGTTCTGTTACATTTCTTTATGCAAAAAGGAGGCAAAATCTGAGTTCTCATTATCAAATACTGTATACTTAGTCCCATTAAAATAAAAACCTCTTTCTGCTTTTTCTTTCTTCTAATCCTATAGAAATATTGAAAATTAAGTAGTTCCACGTTGCATTTTAACTGTGTTTATATGTGGATCTCTTTGTGGTCTTACCAAACACATTTCTTCCATTGATATATTGATTTCAGACTAAAATCTGAGCTGTTGCATCACTACTGAGTTGCTCACTATTGTCACACTAATAAATTGTTTAACTGAAAAATTCCATTATTCCTCTTTTTGGCAAGACATAAAATGATGAACATTTAGTCATTACTGCAGGATTGCTCAGTTTTAGCAGAGTCAGACTTCTACATTCTGGAGTTTTAAGAAATTAGTACTTTAATGAAAAAGGTAGTTTGAAGTCATTTCTTGATTTGTACAAATGCAGTCCTCTGTAATCAACAAAACTTTCGTTATTCTTTCCTCTCCCTGGCCTCATTAGTGTTCTTATACAGAATTTATGATTCTTTCTCAAAGATGAAGGAAATAGAACATATCATAAAAATTAATCTTTTTTATTTTATAGAAAAACATCACAGAACAAGAACATAAACAATCAGTACATCTTGCCTTCAGGTCACTATGCACTCACTTCAGGTAAGGAGTCTTGATACTGAAAATAATTGTATCTAGTACCTCACGTTTGTTAATAAGTTCATATTTAATCCTTTTATAAAAGTAATTTATCTGGAAAATAGTTCTACAAAATAGTTATCTGACTTTGTTTTAGGTAGGAGAATACTACTGCTAAACTTATTTATGAACTGAAAGCTATGCAGATAAAGTATTGCTAAGGGTAACAGTTGTTTTGAAAACCACAGCATACACTTACAGGCTTTTGCTAGTATGTCTTTTAATTTTTTTAAATGATTGTCCATAGTGGTGGTTGACATTGGTTTTAGCCGTTTGGATTCATTAGACCCTGAACACCTTTGATTAAGGGTAATGATAGAATAGGACCTCTACAAGTTTGGTCATTAGGATAACCAAGTTTATATTTTGGACTTGTTCGTTACTAAGATCTTTGTTTTGTAGTGATCAAGATCCAAGTGGACTTTTACTATTACCAGAGAAAGGAGTTTCTGCAGATTTTGACATAAGTGAAGTTCTGTCAGTCATGGACACCCTTCTGCTAGTGGCAGCAAGAGAGGTAGGTGTCTATGTGCTGTTCCTCTTCCCACTTCTCTGCTCTCATTTTTTGTGTGGATTTGAGCACAAACTGCCTAAGATACATACTAAAGAAACCACTGTTCCTGTCCTGGGTAAAGTTATTCATGTCTGTGGTCTAAGGTTTTCCTACCAGTATAAATATTTTTCTTCAAGAATTCCTATTTCCTAATGGTAGGGTAAGTAATGTATGAGATGGGGAGGATTTTTTCCATAGCATTAAAGAGAATCCATGGCAACCTATCAACTCTAGGAAAACAGAAACATTCATCCTATATTGGGTGGTTAGAATTGGTCACGCTGCTAAGGGAAGTGTAAATGGAGGAGGAGGGTCATTTATCATAAAGAGAAAAAATGTGCTGAGAGCACCAGTGACTCAGATGTAGCCAAGCTGTTTAAAATTAGGATTTACTGAGCACATTACTTCATGATATCAGATTTATTGAAGCACATTACTTCATGATACAATATGTTACAGTTGCAGTTAATTTTGGAGGAGGATGTTAATGACTGTCCTGCTTTACTTACTGCTTAAAATGTGTCAAGCTGCATGTGAAAAGATTATCCTTTTGCTCTGTTTTATTTTTTTCAGTGTGAAATGATGATGCTGGATGTTGCACAGCAAGAGAGTGGCACAGTTTTGTCTTCCTTGTTCTGGTCTGTTCAGGGTAGCCTCCTTTCATGGTGCTACCTGCAACTTAAGGGTAGCGATAATTCAGCTAAGGATCTTGCTGTAGAAATACTTAAAAACTGTAAGTGCAGAGACTGAGTACAAAACCAAATGTATTTTAAATAGGCTTTAAAATGTGATTTTATGTGTAGGAATATAATAAGGGTTTACAAGCAGACATGAGAGGCATACTTATAACTATCATAACATTTATCTCTCAGAAGGAATTTATAGGCATAACAAGCAATTTAAAAATATTGGTATGGCTGAGTTTGTGTTGGGACAATCTTTGAAAAACATTTCAGTAAATTATGGTGTTCAGATCCTGGGTAAAATACAGTTGCAGACTTCTGTAACTGATCCAAGCATCTTGTTTCTTTTTTAAATGCCCATTATTTTGATTCAGTTCTGCGTGGATGGCATTTATTTTTCCCAAATGTCTGTGACAGCAAGAGGAAGGAAATATACTTAAGCTGGACACTTCTAAGATGTGTTTCACTAAAGCAACGTTTTTCTGAAAGGATTAAATGGTGAATTGGGCCAAATATTAATGGAGATGTGATCTCAGGGAATTTATGCAAAATTATTTAAATTACTTAGTATTTGTTTTGTGATACTATACTGCATTTAGAAATTTTCTAAACGTATAGCTAAAAACTACTAGCTTCCTTGTTATGTAAGCTGCATTTCCTAGTTATGGGGGGAGGCAACTGGTTATACGGCACTGAGATCGCTGAAACGGTTCTTAGAGTGCTGGAGGACTCAGTGTTGAGTTCTTTGGTTTGAATGTTTCTTTTTGTTTTGTTTTTTTTAAAGATTTCTTTGTTGAGTGCCTTACTTCCATTGTCAGAAACATCACAGAAAACTTTTCTGAACTGAATATTACTTCTTTGGGGAAGCAGGTGTCTTTCCTGTTGTGCACATCACCATGCACTTAATAGTTTTTGATAAAGCAGGTTGTGGTAGTAAGTTCTTAAGGTGGCTATTAAGTTTTTTTTTTTTTTTTTCTCTTTAGATGTGGGCCAGTTCCTGTCAAATGTCAGAACGATTTTGCAGTCACTTTTATCTCAATATAGTGGCAAAACAATAGTAGAAAAAATAAGTAACTCTGTCTTTGCTATGGCAACTCGTCAGCTGGTAAGTGAACATTGGGATTTTGTACTACTCCCTGGAAGCATCATTACATTTAAATGTGTTTTGATGAAAACTCTGTGTTTTCTCCTAGGTGATCTTCTTGTTGGATTTTTGCACTTTAGACATTCCATACTGTACCCTGTTGCAGGGATTCAGCACTTTGATAGAACCACTGAAAAAACTTTGTAGTGAACCTCATAAGGTAACTAAAGATACATGCAGACAGTGTGAGATTTCCTATGAACTTCTGAATTGTCTGTCACACTTTGGTCATTCTCATGTGAACATTTTTTCTGTTAAAATTTTAGTACTTTTGAGCATTTTGCTTGATTGGAACTCTTTCCAATTCTTTCAGGCAGGTCTAAAAATGGATTTCTTATGGACATTAAAAAGTATGTGTGCATTAATGCCATTAACTGCACTGAAAAATTATGCAGTGCTTTATGAAACGAAATAAAGTACAGTTAAGTACAGTGAAGCAATAGGGAAATTGCAACAGAGATGTAAGAAACTCAGGTGATTGTTGAGCATCTGAAAGGAGTTGGAAAACTACTCTGAGTATTGGATGTGTAGTAAAAAACTGAGTGGAGAACTGGAAATATTTGTTGTCATAGTGAAAGAGTATGAATACTAAAAAGTGCAACTGGAATGAGATGGCTAGAAGGCATGTAGAAGGAGGAAGGATTCAGAGAATGATGGAGGAGAATAATAATTTTTAAATAGCTTATGCTTCATTTCTTCATCAAAGTTGTGACCTCTTAAGTGTCACTCTGTGCATACATGTGGCCACTTACGTAGTTCACTCACAGACGCAGAAGTCTGGTGTTAGTGTCTTCTCTGAATGCTTTAGATTTGTGTCTGAGTGCATTTTCATTATACAGATGGAAATGGAAAGCTGGCAGCAAGAGCAACCTGTAGTGCTGCGAACATGGACGATGGAATCTCCTCACAACTATGAGAATAATTGCCATGAGGTCTCGGTCTTCCTCTGTCATGGGGCAACTTATTTTGAGGTGGAATTTGATGAAAAATGTGAAACCGAACGGAGGTAACTTAACCTTTTGCTGTGTAAGATTTTAGTATCTATTTGCTGAGTAGCAAGTTATGTTTCATGGTGTGAGGAGTGCTTCCTCTTCTACAAGTGTGCCATTTCTTATTCCTCATTATCCTTCTAACCATAAATGTGTTATTTTGAGTAATTTTCTTCAATGTTTCGTGCAGAAGGCCATCTCTCTTGACAAATTCACAGATATACTCTCTGAATTTGCTCACTTTGCCCTTGATTGTTTTATAATGTTGTTTTGACAGTCACCGTCTCTTTAGGCAAAGCTACTGGTTTGGTCTGTCTTGGTAACAAATCAGGCTGCTGTTTCCTTAAGTTGTATGCTGGATGCTAAATTTAACACCCATCACCAATTCTATAGGTTTGGAGAAATTCTGCAGGAAAATGCTTGCTGGGACTGTTGCATTAAAGTATGAAATACATTTCTTAGAATAATGTAGCTGTGGTTCTCTTGTGGTGGGGTGCTAGGAGTCTGAAATGCAGCACCTGTGGAAATCAGGCGTTTTCCCCCAGCGTTTAAAAAATAATTTTGGAAGTAATGAGTTGCATTTTCACAGGTATGATTACTTGGAGTTTACTGATGCCAGAGGTGCTAAAACTCGTTATGATACAAAGGTTGGCACTGACAAGTGGCCTAAGGTGAGCACCTTTAAAATTCTGAACCAAGTGATGTTATATCTAAGATTAGGAAAAGCTTATGGTACTTGTGGAAAACATATCATCTGAAAATGTTTATTTCCTTCTGTGTATGTTTTTTAAACCCCTCTAAAGTGGGAGCGGGGAGGAGTGGAGAAAAGTTTGCAAGTAAGAGGAGTGGATAACAACAAAACAATCCCTCTCTGTTCCTGTTTTCAAAGGAACAGTTTTCACGGGAAAAGCAATAATCATGTTTAAGTGCCAGCAGTTACAGGGGTGAAATGTCTCTGCCCCTCTGGTCTCTTACATCTTGAGACAACAGGTTTAGGGCTTCCCGTGAGCACTCCAGCTTTTCCATGACACTTGCTCATGTTGGGGATTTACCTGCTGGTTTATGGCTCCATTTTCAAAGGCAAAAGTATCTATAAAATTCCTTGTTAAGCCTTTGAATTGAAATCTAAGCTGCTTATGACTAGGGCTTTCTTGTTCACCTGGTGGGGAAGTTGGGCCCGTTATGGAGAAAACATAGTATTGAGAAGCCACAGTTGCTGAAGGAAATTGGTTACCCTGAAACGTTTTCTTGTCGTGTACATTTGGCAAAATGACTGTTTTGTTGCTCTGTAGAAAGTGACCTTTAAGGCTGGCCCACGGCTGCAGTTTCTCTTTCACTCTGACAGCAGTAATAATGAGTGGGGCTACAAGTTTTCCGTCACTGCTTACGGCCTGCCAGATGTTGCCGTGTCTTGGGGCCTGGATTTACAGCTTCTCGTATCGCGGCTGATGGGGCGCTTGGCTTCCCGGAGTATGGCACTCAAATCTCTCCGAGGTGAGTGCACGGAAATGCCCCAGCAGTTGTGGGACACAAAAACCTTATGTTTTGGATCTGCTGTGGGAATAAAGCTCGATTTACAGGCCTTGCTTGTCTGAAGACGGAAGGCTTGCTAGGTGGCTAGGTAAGGAATACATTTTGGTCTTAGGGCTGTACCCGTTGCTTGTGGCCTGTGTGCCACAAGCCTCCTGTTCTGTTAGACTATGGACTTGTCACAGGGATCACGGTGACTTTTTTAATATTGAAAGGCCAATACTAGAAAGAGACAGACGTTTGGAAACAATCGTATTAAGCTGTATTACATTTTTGAAGTAATACATGATTCTGCACAAACTTTGGCTCTTTTTTCTCTTGAGCTTCATCACTAATGCCCTGCTCTGCCACATACTGTTGGTATGAAACTGTAGCCAGCAAATTGGGAAAAAATATACCAAGCTTAGACCACAAATTGTGGGGATTTAGAGCGTTTAATGTAGGCATTTGGTTCTGATTTGTATTTGTCCAGCTTTGCTGAACTGGCCATTCTGCTATGTTCTTGTACTCTGGTGACTCCTGTGATATAGTGAGCACGTTCAGTATGTGTGGGTTGCATCCCCTCCTGACACAAAACTCATTATTCAAAACCCTTAGGCTCATCATTAATCTTAGACCTGTCTAGTGAATTCACAGGTTTAGTTTGACTGATTCCCGAAGTTAAGCACATGTAGGATTTGGGCCCCAAGACAGGATAAATGCAAAATGTTAGTTGAGATGGGTGCCATAAAAATACAGAGAGATAGAATTTTATGCCAGAACAGTTTTCAGTAGCTTCTTAAATCTACATTTTTTCAATGTCTTGCAGGAATTAAACGTTGTTAAAGACTTTTTGATAGTATCAGGTAGTCAGTACTCATCATGGAAAACCTTGCAGCTGCTTATGTGTGAATGTAGAGAACTAATTGAAGAGTTCCTACCATAGCTCACTTTACTCCTTTGTTAAGACATGCATGCTTACATGTGCCAAATTATTAGGTGCGCAGTTGGTGAAGAAGCTTTTTGACTGTTTCGTAAGTCATTCTGGAAACTTCTATCATTATGAGCACAGCCCTTCCATAATGTACTCTTGTCATTATGGTGTGAGATATTGATGCTACATTAAAGGAAGGATACATCCACATTGTGTCTATCGAAATGAGGAGGACTTTTAAATATTTTTGCTCTACTTGCTTTACTTACTTTTTACTGGATTTTTAACATGCTGTTCTATTTTCATTACTCTTAAAAGCCAACAAAAGCATTTTTGTGATTGAAATATCTGTTCTCAATTTCTCGCAGAACTAGGTAGTGAAACAGATTTGCCTCCTGTGAAAGTAACATCAGTTCTTAATTCTCCTTTGTGGAAACCTGTCTTCAGGCATCAGATGTGTCCTGAGGCAACCGTGGGAGCAAGTCGAATCAGTGAAGATAAAAAAGAGGTATTTAGGCTACTGTTTCATCCCCTCCTCCCCACTGAAATCGCTATGTTTGATTCAGGCTTGATTAGTTGGTAAACTAATTAAAGGTATGCTGTAGAACTGCAGTTGCTGTCTTTTGCTCAAGGAAATGAAAAATAGTTATTTTTTTGTCCTTTTACTAGTTTTAACTGCAGAAGATATACTGAAAGTTAACTTAATTGTGGAAGTAAGTTTTTCAGTGGATATTAAATGTGTTCTAACGTTCTTTCCAGACTAGGAACTCACACCGAGACGACTGCCGTAACTTTCTCATTGACTTCGCAAAATCAGATCCTGCCCAGGATTTCTGTGGGCAAAAATCTGAACTTTTCAAAGGACTTATTCAGGCATGTAAAAAACAGACCCCAAAGACAGATATAGTTGCTGGTTCTACTGTTGATCAAGCTGTGAACTCAACATTTGCTGCTTTGGTGTATCTCACTCCAGATTTATATGAGAAGCTTCAAAAATATGGTAACTCCAATATTAGTGATTATCTTAATAATGAAGCCTTAAAGATTATAAGAGACTTTATCACAGTTTGGTTGCAAATGCTGAAAAATCAGTTTAGTGTGAAACTTTTTAATAAGATATTTCAATTATATAAAGAACATATTGGTAAACTGCAGTCATTGTTTAGGAGGACTAAGTAGGCCTTATTACTGGAGTGTGATGGAAATCATTTATGTTTATTATTATGTGCGTTTAACTTCAGAGATCTTTCCAAACATTAACAATCAACACAATCTAAGCCTTTATTCTAAAGACAAGCCAAAGAAGTTGTGGGTTTTTTGTTTTTCTTCTGCAGTTTTAATTTGGAAGAATGTGGCTCCTGGTAACTAGTAGTTTTTAGATTAATTTCCACTCTCATTAGGTGTTTTCTAAAAAATCAGGATCAACCTGCGTAGATTTATAAATTTTCTTGGGGAGGAGGTCTGAATTATCTCCAAAGGTGTTATTCTAAGATCAGTTTTCTGAGACTGAGTATTCTAAGATCAGAATAACATTATGTGTGTGTGTGTATATATAATGTGTGTATATATAATTTATTTATTTTAATAAAAGGTAATATTCAGCTTCTAACTTGTATAGTGTTCTTTGCATTGCAATTTATATCTTTTCAGTAAGTAAAATGAATAACTCTTTAAGTTGCACAAACCTTCCATTAAGCTTATTTACATGTTCTTAGTATTGAATAATAAAATGCATTTACTTTTAAATAGTTTTAAATAGTTTCACTGAAGGAAAAGTTAAGAGCCTTCATTTTATGGCACAATTTTGAAGCTAAGGATCTTACATTTTGAGCTACAAAGCTATAAGTAAAATTGACTGACATAAAGACTGACTTGATAACTAAAGTGGTTATTGCTTATTGCCTTTAGTTATTTTTTACTGTCTGACAGTTGATATAACTTGCTTAGTAAGATTGAAAACTGCTGTAGCTCAGGAATGTATTAATGGCTGGATAAGATCTCCATGCTACTATTATGTTAATAGCTTCATCTGTCTTAGTCTTCCTCAGGCAGACTATAATGTCAGGATACTTACTGACCTGCGCCATCCTAAATATGTGCAAGTGGTGCTGTAAAGTGAAAATATAAAAGGAGCAGACTCTGAACAGAAGCATCTTTTTCTTGATAGTCATTTTCAGGCTACTTTTGATAACAGCTGTTTTGTCATGTCTTTAATTTTTGTAGTTTGGTTTTTGTAAATCTGTTCTAGAAGCTCATAGTGTAAAACAAAAGAAAAAATCTTTATAACTTAATGCAACTTTTAAGTTTACTGAGCATTGGAGATTTGTTCTGATAACAGCTTGCATTAGGAATATTTGGATATATAGGGGACATGATGCATGCAGTCAAGGAAAAGAAAAAATTTGCAAAAGAGATGAGAGATATTTATAATTTAACTTTGCAAATAGCTCTGTCAAGGTACCTTTGGTGTATTTAAGGTGTGCAGAACTTGGCAGTTTTTATTTCCTATTCTTCTAGCAGGAATAATTCCCAGTGTTGAGTAAGAGATGAAAGAAAGGCTCTAGCATAATTTTAGTTATGTAGTCAAGTTGTGTTAAAATGGAGCAGTAAATAAACAGGTCTCTCTTTTCTTTTGTTTTCAGTCAACAGTGGAGGCAAGGTGCCTTTGAATGATGAGTTTGCACAAGTATATTCCCTGGCTGATTCCATTAGAATATGGATGGTAAGATCATTCAGGAGGACATCTCTTTATGTCACCTATCTTAATATTTTATATGCGGTATTAAGGAGTAGTGGGAAAACTCATTTTATTTCAGTGATTCCAGGTCAAATATTTTCATTTAAGAAACGGTGTATTCAATTCTAAACTTTGAACTTAAACATTGAGCACATTCTTACGCTATTCTTACATTCTTCCACCACCTCAAATGTGTAATTATGAGTATTTAGGACAGAATTTGACTATAAATCAAAATTGTGCTGTTTTTCATCAGGAACGTGTATTGTAAATTAGGGAGATTGATGTCCAGAGTCAGTTTTCTTTTAAGGTATCACATAGGAAGAAACATGTCTTAAATATCATTCTCAGTTCTGCAGTACTAACAGAAAAGGCACTCATTTTTTTTTCTTTTTTTTTTCCCATTGAGAAAGTAGCTGTAGTTCAGGATATATTCTTTGCATATAAATTTCCTTGAAACATAAGGTTTGTGGCAAGAGTCAGTGTCATGAGCTCACGACCTGGTGAGAGGTGTCTGTGTGATCCCCTGCAGCAGAGGAGAGGCAAACTCCCTTTCAATGTCACAGACTGCAGGAGGCTCTAAGCAAGTGCTGGCAACTCTAGGGCCTTCTAGAACAACTGAGTTGCCTTTTGGTTATACGACGGGCGTGTTTCCAGGGGGATAGTATCTGACCATAATTTCCAGTTAGATTATTTGATTTTTTTGGAGAATCTTATCCTATGACTAGTTGCGCATCTTTCTCCTTTGGCAAAGAGGTTGAGGGGAAGCCTCTTTTTTTTTTTTCTTTTTTTCTTTTTTTCTTTTGATGTTTTTTATAGGGCTGATGCACGTCCTGTTGCATGACAGGGAAGGGGCTCAGCCTAGAAACCTCGAGCATTTCAGTACAAGACTGTGTGATCTGCTCTGAGAGTGCTTAGGTACTGCTCTTTTATACTACTAGGTGTTTTACTCTGTACTAGGAAATAGTAAATATTTCCTGAAGTCAGGAACAAATTAGGTCATTTGTTCCTGAGAATCCTTTATTGTGATGTTATCTTCATATTGCCTTGCTGTCTGGATGTATGGTGAAAATCATATTTTAACTATTTTAACATCCTGTCTACAGTTAGAAATGAAGCAGAAATCCTTGATGGGTAGGGGAAATGATACTGAGGAGAAGCAGAACGTAGAAGCAAGTGAGGTGAACCCAGAAACTCTTGGTAAGTGTTTTCTTTTCAAATACAGAAGTGTTTCAGGTTACTGAAATATCACCTTGTAATTTTTTGTATTGTTTTAGCTTTAAAAATAAATTAGGGTTTTTTCTTTTAATCTTTTACTTTTTAAAAGATAGATTCTGGGACTGTTTCTTGCTATTCTTTGCAGAAAACAGTATGTGAAAAAGATTCCACTGGGGGAGTGACTTGCCACTTGAGTCACCTGGTTCCTAACTTATGTTCATCTGTACTTGTAGATGCTAGTTGCTACAATAAACTGTTAGAATAGTGAACTCTTATAGAAATAAAATGCATTCTCATTGACATGTGTCCTTTGTATGATTCAGAGTTCTTATTCAGATTTAGTGTTTGAAGATAGAGAATTAAATAATTGGAAGCGTGATGATCATTATACTAAATAATAATGATAATAAAACAGTATTTTCTAGCTCTCTCGGCACAGAAGAAATAAGATAAACTAGTTTCTTCTGAAGCAGTCCTGATTCTAACTCTTTTCCTTTTTATGCTACAGCAAAACTCTGCATGCAGAAGAGCCTTTTGTTGCTGGATTTCTTGCCTGTAAGAGCAAAGACGAAAGGTTTTGCTTCAGATAACTTGGAAGCCCGAGATACTGATGATGTCCAGCAGTATGTCAGCAATAAATGCCAAAGGACAGGTTCCATTGTGGAAACAGACTTCCAGGCAGCAGACTCTCAGTCTTCCAATGGAGTAGCTCATCCTGTTCCAAAGGATGGGCACCAAATGACAGAACCTGATACAAAGACTAAACAAGTTCCAGACCCCCTCCAAACAGAAGAAGCATCTGCACTTCACTGTAAGCCTGCTGAAAACGCAGTGTCACAGCAAGAGGATGTATCGTCACCCCCTTCCACTCCTACACGCAAGTCTCAATTCAGCCGTGGAAGACTAAGGCTGCTGTCTTTCAGATCAATGGAAGAGCCAAAAGCTGTGCCTACTGTGAAAGAGAAATATCCCATATTGAAAAGCATCTTAGACTTCATTAAGGATCAATCACTTACATATGAAAGGTAAGCAAACTGAAAATGTCAGTTATAAAATTGTGTTCAGACCTCTTCAGTTGGAATAAAACATATTGTAGCTGCAAGAAAGCTTTGAAAAAATAGTTTGTACCTAAGTAGGTGTCAGATTTAAGTATCAAACTTCAGTATTTCACCACCATGTTCAGGCTTGTGGAGAGTATTATTTCATTTGAATCACTTAAATCAGGTGGAACTTCAGCATGTTTCTTGTCTTGCTTCCTGAAATCTGCTACAGTACTGTTTGCTTCCTGTCTGCAAACAGGTAAGACACAGTATCTCACTATTAGAAATCCTTAATAACAAAGCAAGAATAGTCACATCTCTATCATGAAATTACATGATATTCTGAGAATGTAAATGGAAACTGAAAGAGAAACTTCCAGTTCTCAAGTGTCTTTTTTAATCTCCATAATTTGAACTGGTGCCAGAATGCCTGGAATCCAGTGTGGGCTTTATCAGTCTCTATAGCTGTTTTTATAATGATTATTTTTGTAATAAATCACTACAGTAGTATAAGACTGTTAAAAATACATTAGAAATGTAGATATCTGTGGTGTAACTAGTCAAGGACTTCTTGTAGTTTGCTTGAGTTATTTTAAACACAAGGTTTTGAAGTCCTCATAGATGGTTTTTGTTTTTCTTAGTGTTTTAAAGGTCCTTGCTTTGAGAAAGTCCCAAGGACAGAGTATCATGGAAGTGCTCAAGACAATCCGTCAGTGCCTAGACTCACTTGGACAACCACACTGTTTCAATCCACCCTGTGTACTTTTTCTCTTGGAACTTCTGGCCTGCCAAAAAGATTTTACAAAGTAAGTAATTATCAATACAAGTCTCAGACACATGATATTGTGTGTCTGGGCCCTTGCGTTGTCCCAGTCATGTAAACTTAAAATAGTAAAAAGTAATTGTTTTTTATCCATATACAGAATAAAAAAAATCATGTGAAGATTAGTATTTAAGATACTGTGCATATCTTGCTTGTGATATTTAGAATAGATATCCTTTTAAGTGGGATTTGGATGTGCAGCTGTTCATGCCAGTAGGTGTCAGGCACTTGAATAGCAGTGTAGATGCAAAGAAAAGCCTTTGCAGTTCTGCCTGGATCACAGCAAGCTCAGAAAGATTGGAGAGTCTTCATTCATTGTTTCACTATGAGCTCTTGTGTTTCTTACTGGTTAGAGCTATAGTAATCTAACTACTGTATAACATGCATTTACTTCTTTATCTCTAGCATTGCATCTTTATCCTTCTATGAACTGTGAACTCTGTAAATTAAGATATTTACCTATATGCCAATAGAATTAGCTTCCAAGAATGGTGTGTGACATATATTTAGCCAGCTGTTTGCTTGTTCATAAATGCTGATAGTTTTAGATGTGATACCTGTACAAGATGGCTTTTATTTAGTTTGCTCCTACATTTCATTAGTTAATGTGTCCAGAGGCTAAAGGGATGGGCATGCGAGCTGCTCAGCCTGTACTCATGCCAGCTATGTACCACTTGTGGGGCACTAATACAAAAGCGTGGCGGGGAAATCATGAGTTACATGCATGTGCAACTGTTACTCTGAGCAAGGAAAAAGTAATTTGGAAGCTCTGTCAGACTTTCTGTCAGAAAGCATTTAAAATGCTGTCCATTCCTAATGGAACGAAGCATGCCGCCTAAAATGAAGCAGTGAATTGCAGACTGCTAAACTGACTCTTTACTTTCTAGCTACTTTGGAAACTTGGAAGGCTGCGGTGCTGAGCTGCACAAAGAGGTTCGGGAGTCCTACTATCAGCTGGTTTTGTTCCTGGTAAATTCTGTGAAGGGATTCAGTGCCATTAATGACAGGTACAGTACCCTGCTTACCTAACTACTGAGGTATTTTTGTCTCTGTTCTTTGTCACCTCTTCCCCTCTCATTTGCTCTTAACTGAGACATCAAACAATAAATAACAAGAAGTATACTCAGTATTGTTTACAAAGCTAAGTAATTTATCTGGATGTTGTTTGTGATCTAAAACACCAGGTTACCTGTTATTGTTGCTATGCAGGAAAACTCAATAAATTCATTAATGTTAAAGCTTTGACTAAATGTCCTATGGTAATTAATACTTCTACGTTTCCAAAGCTCAACACTGATATCCTATGAATAGCAAATTTATTGTAAAATGTTTTAGCAAATGTAATAAAACTGTAATATCACAGTTGTGCCATCATGCTGTAATATTAAAGGCTCATGTTTTGATGATGATTTGGTTGTTAAGATTTCTAGCTAAGTGGCTTAGAAAATTGAGACTTTTGTGAGTATGATGTCTGGCTATCTGCTAATAACTTACAAGTCTTTTGGCCAGTTTCAACTGATGATGGCAAATTTTCAAAGAGAAAGTTCCTACGAATATCAAGAAGCAGCAGCTTATTGTAGAGAAGAGGCAGTTCCCCTTGCTGTATTCAGGCTGTTGCATAAGCTTTTCTCTCTGCAGAACCTTTGAAAAATGCCATCTTTGGTTCAGACTATGCTTGGCTATGCTTTTTGCTAAATATGTAATTCCAACTTCAGGTTAGAGCTGTCATATTTTGTTGTCTTGACTGGGTTTTTTTAATTATTATTTAGATCATTGCTTCCTGCCTTATCTTGTGTGCAAACAACTCTCCTTCATCTTTTGGATATGAGTTGGGAACCAAGCGATCTTTCCTTCTTTGTTGAGATTCAGTTGCCGTATCTTCTTATGAGCACATCACAAGAAAACATAAGTATTCATGACAGTGTCATCTGGTGAGTCAGGAAGAATGCAGCTTTCACAGGGCACTAACGTGTGTCTGTGTGTGCAGATACATACATTGCACTATGCTCCTCATATGTTCTTACAGGTTGTCATACAGGCAACAAGAAGGTTGCTCTGTAGTCATTTATTAATCAAATGACTAGAATTCCTGCAGTCTGTTTTCATGTTATAGCACCTTGTTCAAATAATAATAGTTTTTAAAAAAGCATTCCAAGTAGGAAGACTTACTGCATTCAAACTTCATTTTGAGCTTGTTTTTCTTTTAGTCAATGGAGCGAAGAAGATGAAATTGCAGACTACAAGCAAAACTGTGAGTGGATGGATGAATGTCAGGATGTAATGTTTGAGACCTGGTATGAAAAGATAGCTCAAGCTGACCCAGAGAAGCAGAGAAAGGTGAATTGCTTATTTATCTGCAAAAGGGGTAATTAGGAAGTTTTGAAAATCAGAAGAAAGGCATGTGGCTTCATGAGTTTTTTCATGAGTTGAATCCCTGGCTTCATGGATGTCTTCAAAACTATATATATATATTTTTTTTTTTTTAAATGGGGAGAGTGTTCTATTTTCTGTCTAGAAAGGGCCTTCTTAAAGTCAGAAATGTGTGTCCACTTATTGTTCCAGATGCACATGTTTGTAGCTCGTTACTGTGACCTGTTAAATGTGGACATATCCTGCGATGGCTGTGATGAAATTGCACCGTGGCACCGCTACCGTTGCCTCCAGTGTAATGACATGGATCTGTGTAAAACATGTTTCCTTGGTAAGATTTAAGGAAAAAAAAAACCTCAAAACTCTACATATAAGGGGAAATAGTCTCTCCTAACTGTACATAAAACAAAGGGGAGTACTTTTCTTTTGCACATTTTGGAATTGTTCAGCTTTTTATCTTTTCCTAACTTGCCTGTGAAATTAATGAAGATCCTTTACCAAAAAGGATTATTGGTGAAATTTAAAAAGTCATTTCTTTGCAGGTGGAGTTAAACCTGAAGGTCATGAGGATGACCATGAAATGGTTAACATGGAGTACGCCTGTGATCACTGTCAAGGAGTTATCATAGGTCGGCGAATGAACTGCAATGTGTGTGACGACTTTGACCTTTGCTATGGATGCTATTCTGCAAAGAAGTACTCTGACAGGTATTAAATATGGCATTTTGTGCCTGTGCTTGCTATAAAAGTGTTAATTAGCAACTAAGTACAGTCATTCTCATGTCAGTTCTTGCAAGGTCATGCTTGACATCAGAACATGTAATTGGTGTCCTTAGAGGACAGAGGAAATATAGGACTGGTTCAGCAAATATTTCTGTAGACTGGAAGCCTGCCCCAAGTTCTGAAGTTACTTGGTTCTAAGTGTTTCCTGACTATGGCTGTGAAAGCTGCAGCAGGATATTTTCCTACCCTGAAAGACAGGATAGAATAAGGGACCACAAAGCTGTGGTTAGACATCACCAGGAGCTGCATTCCTTGAGCAGGTTTTCTCTTGGTAGTTCAGAATCTTTTAAGTGAGCAGTACTGATGTCAGTGAGGCTCTGACAGTTTGCATCATTTGAAAGTCCAAAGCTTGAAATTCTGGAACTATATGTTCTATTTTTCATAGTTTCTTAAAAATGTATCACGCACTGTTAGTAACATTTTCAACCAAAAAGGTAGTTGTGTTTCAAAATTGTCCGTACCTTCTTCTTTCAGTCACTTGCCCACGCACAGCATCACAGTGTACCCAATGGTGACCATTCGGATCAGCGATCGGCAGCGGCTCATCCAGCCCTATGTCCACAACTATTCCTGGCTGTTGTTTGCAGCCTTGACTCTCTACAGCGCAGATCTGGCAAATGGGGAAGAAGTGGAAGGAGAACAACTAGATTCACAGGTCCTCAGTCACGCCAGGGTTCTGCAACACCAGTGCATCCAGCTCATCGGAGACTGCCTGATGAAAGCCCAGCACGGAAAAGGTGATTCAGCTCCTTCTCTGAAATAATAATTTCCAGGAGACTTTCAGAAAAGTCTCGGTGATTATTCACTTTGAAGTTTCCAAAGGAAAGGGGAAATTACTGTGTACTTCACTGAGTATAATTGTTTATATAGGAAGCAAATGTACAGCAAGGGTCATTCAGGGTCATTGGAACATGTGTTGGGAGAATGGGGTGCTTGAGGAAACTTATTTATTGCTTAAAAAATATTGAAGACAACACAGCAACTCTTTAATAGGTTTCCCCCCCCCGCCCCACCTTGGATGTTGTGAAGTGATTGGTGTGGTTTCACATCCTGTTACTGCCCTGTTATTGTAAATTGAAGGACTTGAAGGACAGCAAATAACTCGATGGAAAATATTTCTTGTACTGCCTCAAACGGCTAGATTTTTTTAAATTTTCTTTGTGGTGTTAAAGGAGTTGCTGAGGAAAATGTCCTTTTGCCTGGAAATGAGGATTTCTGTGAACGAAGACCTATTTATACAAAACAGGGTGGTATAACAGAATCCTGTTGTGAGTGTATTAAAAATTTTGGACTTAATTTCATGAGAGTGTATTTACATTTTTTGAGCAGCCTTAATACTGCTTAAAGACAACTGCCACCAGGAGTCACTTACTGATGCTCCGTTGTTTCCTCTATTTGTTTTAAACATACAGTTTGATTGTATAAATATGTAAGTGGTCAGAAGATTAAAAATTATGACAAATATTTAAATATCATAACTCAGAATCCTTGGAGGTAACCCTGATGACTTTTTAAAGTTATTTATTATTATTACTATTAAGTATGATTTCTACTCCGTGCTCATCATTGTGAGGTAGAATATGTTACCACACAAAGTTATTTAATGAAACTACATAATCAAGTGAACATTGTGGGGAACATCGTTTTGGTGGGGTTGAAGTCAGTAAAATTCTACAGAAGTGTATGTAGGGAAGTGTGTAGTTCTGTTTCAATATGTTTCACTTCTACTTTTTGCTTGTCTTGCCATTCAGGCTCTAAATAGCTTTTGTAACTCTTTTTTTTTTTTGCTTTCAGGTCTGAAAAATTTAGCTCTCCTCTGTATGCTACCAGAAGGTGAATCCTTCTCCGAGAATGATACCATTCCAGTCAGTCCTCCCACAGATGGTGCTGCAAAAAAACATATTGGCGAGAAAGCAGCGAAGGGAAGAGATGAGAAGCCAAGCACAGGCTCCCTTATGCTTTGCAATGTGAGTACCTGTTATTTATAGAACCCCTGGTACCCATTAGTTGTGTGATCTTCAGAGGCTGAACATTCTACTCCAGGACAGATAATGGAAATAATGAAAAGCAAGGATTTCATTGGGAGGTTAAAATTGTAGGAGCAAGGTTGTCAATTTGTTTGATTTTTCAACTAGATTCATCTAGATTCATCTGAACAAAGATTAAACATTGCCTTATGTTCTTACAGGCAGCCTTGCCTCCTCCCTCCAACATTTTTGTGAATTTTCTGGTTTCTTGGTTTGCTTGTGTTTTAGTGTAATAGTCTTACATATGGATGATGCAAGCAAAAAAAAAAAAGCAATTTCTTTCTGCACAGAAATGTAAGAATGAATTTCTTAATGTATTCAAGTGTTATTTAGTGAAAGGTTTTGATAGTCTAGGAAAATGAGTTTTTGCCAGATGCTAATCACTGATTTTTTTTTCTTCCATGGCTGCTTCTCCAATGAAAGAAAACATGGGGTTTGGGTTGGACCAGATGATCTTTAGAGGTTCCCTCCAACCTTAACCATTCTGTGATTCTGTGTGATTCTGTAGGAATTAAACTATGTTTTAAACTATTTTACTGCATTTGATTTATTTTTAGGGGAAAGGAGATGGTCACAATGAAGCCCATTCCTCTACAGAAGATAAAGTAGTAAAACAAGGAACTGAAAGCAATCTCGATGCTCCCCTTGCCAAAAAGGCGGTTTTAAGACAAGAGTCAGATTTGTCTGCAGATGATAACGTTTCTCCATCAAGTAAGAGATTGTTTTCCTTATTTTCTTAACATGGAAATATCCACCGTATACAAATTATTTTATTCCTATCTTATTTTTCTGGGTTTGCAGATATCCTCAATGCAAGTGAACTGTTTCATAAAAACCTGCCAACCATATTGCTTTCAATAACTGCTCTGTTGCAATCTGTTTAAAGGATTCCAGAAACTAGACTAGAATTCAGTAGATGAATCAATGCATAAGATTATAGAACTTGCTGATGTTACCCAACACTTAATAAATTTGTGCTAGACACTTCAGACCCTCTTCTCATATTGTTTCTAATGGTCCCATTATTTTACAGAGAGCCTTTAAATGAGTATTCTTACCAGAGATTAAGAGGTACCTGAGGTTGTGTTTCATTTCATTAAAAGCTAGTGTTGTTAGCACTGAGATGGTAAAATGACTCTGTCCGCAGTGTTGTTCTGTAAACATTTTTGGAGAAATGAGGTAGATGTATCTCTTTGCCTGCTATCTTTTTTATAAAGATTGGTCTATCAAATTTTTAATAAAACTAAAAAATGTGCTTTATTCTTGGAGTGTAACTATAAGCATTAAACTATCATTTATTTCTTTTTTAATGTCTTTTTTTTTAATTCAAGCAGGTGATTGCCTCTCAGAAGATTCAACACAGAAGCAAACAGAGAAGGTTTTAATACCTAGCCAGGAACAAGTTTTTGCTGAATGCTCTCAAAAGAGAATTCTAGGACTGCTGGCAGCTATGTTACCACCTTTTAAATCAGTTAGTTCTTTGTACTTTCAATATGCAGTTGCCTGGGTGTCACAAATAACATGAGCAGCATCCATAGTAAAATAAATGATGTGGGAGAAGGGTGGTTCTTGCTTAAATGTCACAAAATGCTAGTGTCAGAATCAGACACTTTTAAGCCATTTTACATAGTAAGGGCACACTAGGCTTCATTCCTGGGTGCGGGGAGTGAATTGATTTATCCTTGGGGCAATCCATTGTAACTGTTCAACATCAGGAAAATGAAACAGACACCTTAGACTTAGATTTCAGATTTTACTGCTGAATAGAGCTTTGACCAGGGCTTCCTGTTTCAGTTTTATGGCAAACGTTTCATATGAGTAATTCTAATGTAATTAGCAGTGTGTTAAGATGTATGATTTGCAGCCTTCTGTCTGCTTACAGAAGTTAAAAAAAAGCCTGGTCTTTCATTTCCTATTGTATTTGCTATGATTTAGACTATGAACTTTTTTTAATTCTCTACCTTACTGCTTTTATTTTTTTTCCTTTTTCCACAGGGCTCCACAATGTCTTTAATTAACCTGGAACAAATACTGCCACTGATGTTTCAGGTTGTCATCTCAAATGCTGGCCATCTAAACGAAACCTACCATTTAACACTGGGACTTTTGGGCCAGCTAATCCTGCGACTTAGGCCTGCAGAAGTGGACGCTGCAGTGGCTAAAGCCCTTTCAGCCAAACACAGTTTGTTTGCTGCAGGAGATGGGTCTACAGTGCCAGAAGGGTGGAAGACAACTCATCTTCTCTTCAGTCTAGGAGCTGTGTGTTTAGACAGGTGCTTTTTAATTAAAACCTCTTATTTGTTCCTTGATGGGACTAATACTAATTTTGTTTTAAGTATGTCTTGTGCATGGAGAACTTCTTAATAGGAAGTTCATTGAACCCACCTTTTGATCCTGGGAAGGACTTGGCAGCCTCAGCCCTACTTGCAGTATCTCTTAAGATTCCTTCCAAAAGAAGGCAGGTGAAAAATAACTGAATTTCCCGCACTTTCATACATAGCATGCTATGGTAGAAGACCTAGTGTTCTAGGACTTTAATGGAAAACAAAAATACATCTTAGATTTTTTTTATGAAGTTCATTTCCTCCTTTTGAGCTACGTTTCCCTGTGTAAGTTGGGAAGAGAGTGCATCATGTGGCAGCTCTCATCCGTGGTGAGTTCTCAATGAGCCCCATATGTGGAAGAGGGTTAAAGATCTAAACCTCCTATAGTAAAATTGCATTGGAAGTACTGAGGAGGAGCAAGGAAAATGTTCAATTTTCAGAGACTTGAGAAAGCTCTGCAGCATTCTAAGATTAATATCATGCCTGTTAAATATGACAGTATTTCTTATTGCAACTATGTTCTGTAATGCAGGTTCATAAACAAATAGAAAAGCATGCAAAATATTAATATAGAAAACTCAGAGGATTAGCTGAGGGGAAGGAGATTTTCAAGGACTAACTTTAGAACAAGGAGTCCAGTATCACTAGACTCCCTATATAGTTAATAGTAAGAGAGCAGGTACTCATATGCATATAAGAAGAAGACCCCTTGCTTTTGTATAAAGAAATTCTAAACTCCAAACTAAAACTAGGAATTCAGGTTGACAGCATTCAGGGAAACTTTGACTTGGGACTTTAAAACATTTAAGAAGATAGTTTGAGTAATATCTATGCTCCAACGATGTGAATCAAAATAGATTTTATGTGTGGAAGACATCAAAACTTCAAATATTTCAAAGAAACAATTGTATAATAATAGCGTGAGAACTATAGCTATAACAGATAAAAAGTAGTGTAATA